AGGCCCGGTTGACAAATGTGGTTTCCAGTAGCATGTATTCTTGCTGCTTGCAGCTTGTGAGTGCCTATTGGCCTCAATGATTGTTTTAGACACATGACTGAAAAAATCCACATATGCATTATTGATGTAGACATATATATATATAGATACAAAGTTTTTGTGTATATATATATATATTATATTGCTTTCAAATTGGTTTCAAGGAAGTTGATCAGTGGCTGAAACATGGCTTTGCTTCATGTTGCTTGCCATGGCGAGCGCAACAAAAAAAGAAAACATGTCCTCAACGTAGGAACAAGTGCCACGCTACTAGTAACAAGTGCCTTACTAGTAGTGACAAGAAGCTAGTAGAAACAAGTGCCTTACTACTAGTAACAAGAAGCTAGTAGTAATTTTAGTTTAATTCTAATAGCTTTTTTGTTACTACTAGTAAGGCACCTGTTACTACTAGCGTGGCACTTGTTACTAGTAACAATAAGAATTGTAGCATGCTCCACGGTGACGCCCGACGCGCCTGGAGCCTTCGGCCGCCCAGGACTTGGGCGCCTGAGGTCGTGGCAATTGCAGTTGAGTGTGTGGACCTGTCACTGTGTGGAATCTGTGGACCCGTTGGTCGTGAAAGTCACAAGAAGAGAGCCAAGCAGGTCAAAGTCAACATGCTGAACATACAGCAAATAGAACCTTCAATTCACATGGCTTGCAATGCCACTCTTTACAAAACAAACGACAGCAACTAGACTGAGGGATCATGATGGCACAGCGGTACTTGCAGTCTGTGTGCCTTCTCAAAGATGGACAACCTGGCAGCTTCTCGGAAGTCACGAGGAGGTTACAAACTTCGGTCCAGAATCTCAACTTGATAAAGTGGAATCAAACGGTTGTGGAATCTGACATGAAACAATGATAGGAGGAAGCTGTTGGGGATGGTCATGGTCGGCCCTCCCATTTATAGGCTGAAGGAACCAGGGGGCCAACAAGCACCATAGATGTTTGTCAAATCCTCATATGGAATTTGAATGAGATCCAAGGCTTCTCCCACCATGCAAGCGCCCCCCCCAAAGCAAGAACCATAAGCCCCTCAGAAAACCAATGGCTCCATGGCTCGCAGCCAAGGATCCAATCGGACCAGTCGATGCCATCAATGACACCCTGCGAGCAGCGCCAAACACATCAGAGATCTCAAAACAAAGGACCCGGCAATACAGCCACCAGTAGGGGTAAAAAAAAAACAACAATATGTATATATATATCATATATGTGTATATATATATATGTATGTTACATATAATATTAACTAGACTATACCCAGTCGATTGAGGGGTCACCTCCGGTCCAGCTCTGTCGATGCATTTGCTTCTTCGCTGACCTGCTTGGAATGAGACTCTTGGTGAATGTGACGTGATACCTCACAGAAAGAAACATCTCGAGCAACCCGCTTTGCCACTAACCATGTTTATGAACCTAAGAACGTGTCCAGCGCTCTCTTCGTAGTTAAAAGGTGTGTCAGTCGTTTGTGAAATGTGGTGGATGCTATATCTAGAAAGCATGCTATATGTCCGTCTATGATCAACATGGTTTATAATGGTCTATCCTAGTTATCTCATCTTGCTTGGTGCCTGGCATGAGGCGCTCCTCTTGAAAGCAGAGGCGCCCAAATGAGTCCCAAATGTTTTGGCGCCCGAAACTGGGCTTTCTGGCCACATGCACGCAGTCGAAGTCCGGGAAAAGAGCTCCATCGGGCATCACCGGCACCAGTTTGCTCCATACCTCAGGCTCCGCAAATCGGATGTGGATCGGTGCATGGCTGGAGTCATCGGGTCATGGTCGACCTTTCCGAAACAGCTTCTTGTTGCTAGTGGCGAACATTGCTCTAGTAGTACGGCCAGGAGTCCCTAGTAGCGTCCTCGCTCCTAGTAGCGATGCCAGGAGTCAGGAGCCCCTAGTATATGGCGTCGTGTTAATCCTGCGTTGAGGCCTTGAATGATCACCTCGTGACTTTCACTTTGGCTCCAGCCGGCATCAGCCGTGCAGTGGCAATCAAAGCAGACCTCATGTCATGCAAATTTGACCAATGCCACAAGTACCATCTAGAAACATTCTTGATAATTTTTGGCTGAACATGGCTTTAGCGGCTAAGCCCTCAACCTCAGCATGTTTCCTCATGCATCCAAATAGGAAACCACGGACGGAGTTTGATACATTGAGGTCAATGTAATGCGCAAGAATGACGCCACACATTCTGACCACTTGTTGGCATACGGTATGCAATCCAATCATTGAATCTGAAGTTGCAGCTTGCTTGGAAGCCTTGTTCTAGAATGTTCTAGATTCATCTTGTGCTCCTTGTATTATATACAATGTCCATTCTGACTATGCTGTGAGATAGCTAGAGCCACAAATGATGCCATAATCTATTCCTTGCACCACTCACCACTCCTTGCTCCTTGCGCTCCTTGCTCCTCTCGACCGAAAGACCAAGCGCCCGTTCGACTGCTTGCGGGCGCGAGTCTGTTTTGGGTCGGCTTTTCGCAAAGCCTCCGGACTCCTCCAGCGGAGCTTCGAACGGGCTCGGGCACGACGCAAGGCGTCGCCAGGCGTCGACTGGAGATTCACGATGGCCCGCCTCTGGAGGCTCAAGACTCTGTGGAAGTTCAAGACTCTGAAGGCTCCTTTTCGATGTGTGGAGACTCTTGTGAAGAGTGGATTATATCAGCCCTCCCACATGCCTGCAATGTGCTTGAGCATCTGATCTGACCTCAAATGTCAGCAGAACCACACGAGCCCACCCACTCTTCTGTCTTTTCCCTCCATCCATCCGCAAATCCAATCAAATCCACACATGGCTCGGATAGCAACAAAGTGCACTACTACGGGACCAAACTGCACTGCTTTTCACATGTTTTTTCACACAAAGAGATTGTGCGCATGGATTTCGGCCAAGCAGCCAAGTGGCGACACTAGGTGAACATGGTCCAAAGCTACAGCTGGGCAAATGTCACGATGATTGGCTCTACCCAAAAAAGAAAAAAGGTGTCCCGATCCCTTAGTTGCAATTTCATCCAGATGTTGACACACATCGTTCCCTAGAGTGATGCATCCACCTGTTCTGCCCTCCAACCCACTCGTGAAACAACCAGGTCTCATCCAGAAAAACTGTCTTAAGCTTTGAAGAATCCCACAGTCCTCCAAGAGCAGGTTGTGTTGGTGCACAAGGGGTCCATGCACTGGGGGGTAAATGGCGCAGTGCACCACTCTCTAACACCATAATTACTTGCCATAGCGCACTGGCACGCTGCTACCTAGTGATTGCTGTGCGGTGTGGCAGCAGCAAAACCCCACCCACCCACTCTGCATGAAATCAGCCATCCCCAAATGGATGCGTAGGGGTTTGTTGTAAGTGCCAGCCGCATCATGCAGCCTGGCTTGTGACACTTGATCATTGCTTGGGAAAAGGAGTGTGTGTAACCCACTAGTGACATATGTGTTTTTGATTGCTTTCGACTTATGCATAACTGCAGGGGAGCGTCTTGTGTTCCGATGACTACGCCCAATGAGGGTCGTGCGAACATGGGATACCAGGATTGGGCATACTGGTATGCCTGGCATATTGTGATAGCAAGCGGCGCAAGGGTCAAGCCAGCTCCACGACATGAGTTTCAGGTGGCGTTCCAACCTGCGAGGTGGACAATGTTTGGATTGAAAATCGGTGCTCATCCTGAAAGCATGGAAGAACCATGAATATTGAGTCATCTGGTCACCAAGGCCATTTCGCACAATCTCCATCGTTTTGGAATCAAAGCAACAAGCACGAGATAGCTCGAGCCTCATGGTTTTTGGGAGAACTAACGAACCTCAAATTAGAATAACATGGAATAACTTAGGCCCAACGTGGTGTGGAAATCTGGGTCTGTGATATTCAACCAGGGTAGCACCTACACAGCCCCGTTCGCACCAATAGTCGTTCGCTGAGTGTGCTTCTGTTTTCGTCGGCTACGTCGACGTGTACAAACCAATCTGGTGTCTATGAATGGGTGTCTGTATGTGCCTGTGCATGCGCACCTGCTGCACATTCCATATCCAAACTGAATACACACATCAATCCGAGTGCATGGTGTGTCCAGAAACCCAACTCTTTCAGCACAGCTTTTGACACGCATGACTTGCGATGAGCTGTTTCGATGAAGCTTTCACCGATTCAGCGGATGAAGCTCAAAGAAGCAATCCTCTTTCATGTGAGACGGCGCGCCATTCGCGCTGCACTTCTTCCAAAACGATAAAAACTACAGCAATCGCTGCTGCTTTTCTCCCGCTGAATCCAAAGGTGCCGTCTCCGCTCCACAAGAAACACACCTGCCGTTGCCTCTTCACCTCGTCACCTCAACTGGATCGGAGCTCAGGCTCACCTCGTCACCTCGTCCCCTTCAGAGCTCAGGGTCCGTCTCTGGGATCCGCGGTGCCTACTCCAGGAGCTCACGGTGTGCATCACATCCTAAGGCCTCGGACGGTCGCGCCGGCTGGAAGGTGTGGAGATACCGGAAACTGGGGTTGACACACAGTGGTCAACATGCGTGTGATATCTTGTGATCACAAAAGCACAAGATAGCACAAGTAACTATACTGGCCAGCAAATCCAAGAGCACAAAATGGAATTTTGTCTGGCTGGCAAGCAATACCAGGCGTGCTCCAGCATTTGGCATTGCTGTCAAGATGCGCAGGCCAAATAATGCAGCTGCTTGCCGATCCTTATTACACTGATAAATCTAGGCTTGTCCCATGAGGAGCCAAGCCCGCCCTACCGCCCATGCCGAGAAGCTGGTAAGCAACCCAATCCTCTGTTCCTCTTCACTTAGACTCACCATGAGACTATGTGCCAACCTGTTGTTGTTTTATGTTGTTTTGCAATGTCTCGGCTTGCCATGACCACTGCAAATTTTCAAAAATAGAATGTACAGCCAATGAGGGCGTAGAGGGCGTACGGATAGTGCACACATGGTCATGTTTCACAACTTGCGCGGCTTCATCCCTGATGCAACAAGCCGGGCTCGACCAGGGCACTTCTGCGTATCCCTTCGGATCTTGTAGACATCAATGCTTCTGGCAGTGCCGTGAAATTGACGGATGGCTTGCTCCTAGGCCCCGCAGCAGTAACAGCAGTTCTGGAGCGAGAAGGAATGTGCACTCTCTCTATCAGCCTCTCCCTCTCTCTCTCTTCTCTGACTCTGGCTGGGTTTTTCTTCAGTTTGTTGAGCATCAGTTCTGATTTTATCCTCTACGTCTCATCAGGCGGGTTCACACTTGCACCAAAAGAAAGAAGCATCCCATCCCGACAAATCTTCATAACGGCGAGCATCAAAGGAGAAAGGATCGATCTTGCCGTCATCGTCGAAGTCAAAGAGCTCAAAGAGCTCGTCGGCCGTATGGTTCCTCAGTTCGCGGCCCCGGGTTGGTCTCTACCCACTCATCGGTCTCGTCAATGAGAAGCACATGCTCAATGCATCTTTCGGCTTCCTTGAGCTTTGAGATCAAAAAGCCGCCATAGTCAGAGCCACCCTATATAGCGAGTTGTCTTAAATGATGAAGTCTTAAAGTTATGTGATTAAACTAAAAATATAACTATATAAGTCTTAGTCTTAGGCCTGTCCCATTACCATGTGGATGATGTTTCTTAAGTCTTCAGCCTTCAACCTAGTTGTCCTTTAAAGAAATTTGTCACACACTCGGTCCTTCCACCCAGCCACAACCTCTGAACAAACCAAGTTGCTCCACGTTGATACCCAAGTGACGGAAGCAGTCCTGCACCCTTTCATCCTTGCAAGGAGCGAGCGATTGCAAACACACCCTTTTCAATCTTTCCACATGAGAGGATGTCAACGCTGAACTCTCGCCTTGATCTCTGCCATGAACTCCTCATAGGACAAGTCGCCCTCACTACCTGAGCCACCAAAGAAAAACGATTCAAGACCTGTCCATGCGATGAAAATCGAGAAGTCTTATAGTGGATTGAGAGTAGATGGCACAGACCCCAAGAGGTGGCTTGTATGGACCCCCATCTAAAGGACATCATGGGGTCTGTGCCATCTACTCTGAAACTACTGTAAAAGTTCAAGCCACTCACATCCATCTTTGCAAAAAGGTTGACGACCTCTTTCACCCAGCGCTGGCGGCGAAGATACCTACAGCGGTCTTCACTCGAGATCTCTTGCGATCCAACTGCGTTGACGTCCTTATGAGTACATGCTTTAAAATGACAAGTTGAGCTTATGTCTTGGGTGAACTTGGGTCCTGGGGGGACCAAGTGGACAAAGTGAGGGTGGCACTGCAAACCAAGGTACTGCCCGGCACGCTGATGCAGCGTCTCCTGCTCGCCAAGCTCCTGAAGCAAGCACATCAGCTCTTCAGCACCGAGTAACCAAGTGTCAAGAGTATGGCACTGTGGAGCTACTAGTAGCATCCTTGCTCCTAATAGCGATGGCCTCCAACCTAATGGCCATGGCCTCCACCAAGTAGCTTCTAGGTACTAGTGGCGTCCTTGCTCCTAGTAGCAATGGCCTCCAACCTGATAGCGATGGCCTCTACCTAGTAGCTTTCCGTCGATGACAATTCACGGGACTGGACGGTGCTTTCTTGCGACTGTGGCATCTGTGGTCGTCGCCTTGGCATTGTCCACAAAAATACCTCCACTTGGCGGCAGGTGTTCGGCTGAGAGTCAACCAAACACAGTGATTCTGAGTCAACCACACGCCCATTATTTTCTTGGAGTTGACCAAACACATCTGCGCACCCAGAAGAAGAGGCTGTAGTCTGTATAATTTGCGTTTATTTTGCGGGCCTGTCACGACATTGATAAAGCAAAAGACAGTGAAGAACACCTGAGTACAGCAAAACACACAGACAGCAAGTCACTGCTTGTTTGCTGATAAACCGAGCACGGAAAACAGTGGCATTCAGGAGGTTGTCGTGTCACTCAGATTCTGGAGCTCCCGTGCACACAAAAACAGCGAGAAATGGTTTGGCAATAGCAGCAAGAGAAAGACTGAAAACTTTCGCAACATCAACATGGTCAGAACATCCCAGGTATCCAAAGGCCCTGAGAGGTAATGACTGAGGAAGGTGAGAGGGAAGGGGAGGTCAATCTTTGAGTCCTTAAGCTCAACTGGCTGGGCCCTCAACCTCATGACTCAAAATTGCTCAAGAAAAATCTGAGTCCAACTTGGTAGCAATGTTTGTAAAGGTGTGACGTTTGTGAGATGTTGTGATTGGTTAAGTAGAACCAGTACTTATTTGGTACAACTACTGTATATACGATGTTAACTACCACCTTGGGCCCCACCCAAAATAACCGCCCATATGATTTTGATCCATTTGCCTGACTTCGACTTTGTTCAGCCCTTTAAACCCGTGAGTTTCCCAATCTCTCATCCTATGATCCTATGGCCGGTTGCTCATCTTGGCGCATTGGTCTTGAGAAGCCATCCAGATTCAGAGGTGCGTGAGAGTGTGTGTAGGTGTTCGCCTGGAGTTGACATATAAGTTTTTGGCCGGTTAGCCCTAGTCCAAGCACCATTCACTTGCACCAAGTCACATAGATTCCCATGAAGTAGTCGATGATCCAGCTCATTGCACTCAGGGGAGCGACGGCATCTCTCCAATCAACTCCTAACAGACTCTGTTTTTACACGTGTCAGGGAAAAGGGTTCTTATCGACAGGCATTGAAAACATGCACTGGTGCCAGGCAGAGTTGGGAAGCAGCTCTGGCCGCTGGCATTTCAAGCATCAGAAACACTTAACAAAACTTTGAGGAAATCAAATACGGGGTTGCCTCCTGAGATTGCCATGAACAAGGTCAGCATGCTTCCTCAGTCTGGGTGTGAAATCTAAAGCTTCAGATGTGCTAGTGCATTGAACACTGCTTTCCTGAATCCACATTGAAAAGCATGGATACCATTGCTTTCCCGCATGTAACGTCACCGCACTGGAAATCTCGCAAAAGTAAATAGACATGTGTGCATCTCAAAGACTACTGAAATAGAAATCCAGTTCAGACAAGCATCTTCCTATGGTGCCATAGTAAGTCACGAGACCACTTGATTCTATGTCTATGCCAGTGTTTCGCAGGTGGTTGTAGGCCAGTTGCATGAATGTCACTCCAAATATGAACATTAGAATTCCCAGCAATAGCATTGCCCAGAACAAAGTCTTCATTGACCTGAAACAAGTGCCACGGTGCGACGGGTGGGCGGCGTAACATCGTCGACAGCACGATCGAAGGCGGTGCGCAAATCTTACTAGTATATAGTGATTTGTTCCTAGTAGCAATGTCAGGAGCTAGTAGTAGCGTAGTAGCGATGCCCTTTGTTACTAGTAGCAAAGGATTTAACTCAACCTTTCAGGAAACTCATGCGCAAACAATGGGATGATTGCTGCATGATGAGGTATGATGAGGGCCTTCATACCAAAGAGCGGCGTTTTGTTGTGTGATGTTGTGTGTAAATCCCTGCGCATTCTGGAAGATCTGGAAGCCTGGAATTTCCAAAGCAGGCTACTCAAGCTTTGTAGGCTGTACGCTGTGGGTGCTTATCTTCGCTGGGCTGCCCCTGACAGTGGGCAACAACTGCAGTGGGATAGCAAAAAGAACGATTTCTACTACCAACTACTGAGGCCTCCTCACGGCCTACCCCCTCCAACGGCCTTTAATATAACACCTTTATATATGTAATTTTAGACCAGATGTACAGTAAATCAAGGACTCAAGGACCCGCTCCAAGATTAGACTGCTTGGACCCACTCCTAGGACCCAACCCGTAGCCCTTGGCCCTGCTCGATGCCCAGCAACCCAGCGATGCCGTTGACCATGATGCGCAGCTCACTGCAAAAGCGTACCACCCTCAGCAGACGCAGCACCCGCACCAGGCGCACCATTCGTAGAAGACGGAACTGCGAGAGCTCAAGCGCAAAGCCTCCCGCGCAAGACGGCTTAGCAATGCAAAGCTACATGTATAATTTAGGTGGGCTGTCAGCCTCGAGGGCTTAACAATCGCGTCTCAGCATCCATCTTCGTGAAGCATCCTTTGATGTCTTTGAGCGGTATCTTTGGATTAGGCCATGCTGCAACTAAAGGTGCCTAGTCCTACGGGCACATGGCAAACATCGCATCCAACTGCATCCCATGTTTGTGCAAGCCACATGATGACATGCCTCGCGTATGAAACCGATCTGTACGCTACACACACACACACATACTGCACACTATGCAAATTGAATACCAATTGAACTGTGCACACCCTCTGCAGGTCCCTGGGACTCTCGTGTCCCTCCGCACTCTTTTCCTCCGCATCCGGCGACTCCACCGGCCGCGCCCGGCAGATCAACGGGTCTTCGCAAGGATGAAGGCGATCAATGGAGACTTGCTGGGATCGCACTGGTCCTTGACAATCCAAAAGATATGAATGCCCACTGGCCCAAGGAAAGCAACAAAAAACAGAAACTAAATGATCTCCACAGAGTTTGTAGAATACATTCGCATGTGCATCATATACATATACATATACATGTACATATACGTAAGATAAGAGCAAACTTTGTAGAGCCGAAGGTGATGTCCAGGCATCTGAAAGGTTCACCACATTGACCTTGAAAGTGTCTAGCGCCTGAGCTTTCTCCTCCCAGAGTGGCAAAGCTTCCGCCTCCAGGTATGCTGCCCTGCTAAGCCTCAAGGAGTCTGGCAGGCTCGGGGCCTCTATCTGATGCACTAAGTAGGTCAGCAGCAAATGCATCGGAATCCTTGCACGATGCCCGGTTCTTAAAGGAAGCCCCTTCACCTGATTTAATGATGAAAAATGTGGTGAAGCAATGAGCGAAAAATGTGCCCAGTGCCACCGGGGATCACATTGGTCAGCTCCTCCAAATCTAAACCGTCTGCCGGAATAGCCAGCAACTTCTTGAATTCATTCAATACCGAAGCTTCATATCTGATGCGTGACTGATAGTCAGCATCTAGCGTAGCAAGCATCGCTTCAAGCACCTCCAAGTCCTTAACTAAAACACTCCTTTCTGGGGCACCACATGGCTTCACCAAGGCAGCAGCAGAGAGGAAACATCGCACTGCAAAGCCACAGAAGTCCTTGATGTAACTCTGCAGTTGTCCAGCTCCAAAAAGTGAGAAATAGTAACGGCTCAAGTGGTTTGCTGCTTGGCACACTGCGTTCTTCTCCGCAGAGCTGCCTACAGCGGCCTTCGTGAAGCTCTTCTGCAAGCTGCCAAAGATCGGCGTCACAACAGCAGCCTGAGTTTGTTTCAAGGTGCTTTGTACCTGTTCAGTGAGAACCGCATGGTGAAAGCGTTGTGGTACCAGCTCCCGGAGAGCATTCAGAGTGTGGTGGGCAATGCCAAATAAACGCGCATTGCGAGCATGGCCTGCAGCTGGCATAGGAGGAGGGGAGATCAGCTGTAGTCGACCATCTTCAGTGCGCAGGCATTGGATATCCGTTGAAGAGTCCACCACCTGCTCCAAGCGAGTGGCAAAGAACAAAACAGAACTCCGCACACTGCGAACGATTTCCTTCAGTAGCAGCTCTGGGCAGGATTCCACCCTCTCCAACTCTGTGACAAGGAGTTGGACGTAGCGGCGCAAATCGTGCATCGTTGGCAGCTCATCTGTTGCTGCAGCTTCGCCGGTGATGCGCTCACCAGAAGCACTGAGAGATGAGAGCAACTTGTCTGGAAGCATAATCTCAACTGGCTCTGTGATTCTCTTGATTGCTTCTCCCAAATATTCCTTACAGACTGGCCAAAAACTTGAGAATGAGAGGTAAAAAAGTTAGCCGCCCAATAGAACCCAAAGAGGAAACGTGCACAACAGAGTAGACAGGCCACGCAAGCAAGCTGATTGAATTGTGATGAATTGTAAGACGTGGTAGAGGCAAGCCCCATTGCCGAACAATTTTTTGACAAGTCTTTTCAAATAATTATGCTCCTTCTCGGCCCGATAGCGCCAGTTAAAGGTGAGTGGTCGGCGAAGCGGCCCTGTTTGGATGCCAACTGGACAGGAAAGAGAACTACCTATGCTCATCTGGCACGGGAGCTATACTATAGGTTTCATATAGAATTCCGCCCCGTGGCACCGGCATGCCGCCCCCGTGGCACCCCCCGGGTGCGATCGGAGGAGAGAAACGCCGACTCCCAGATGGGTCGGAGGGGTCGACCCGACGTTGGACTCGGGACGACCAGCAGGGCCATAGGAGCAACTCTTTCTAAAGCAAGCAAGCTAAATTGGCTAAATGTGCTAAATGGTCTGACTGCGTCCCTCATCTGTGCGACATCGATTCTTGGGAGAAGACCGTGGAAAAGAGCTCTTGACACCAAGGCTGCTTCCACCATGCAACCACCGAACCTTCACTTCGCAGCCTAGACTCATTCCTCAGCTCCGCAGCCGACTGAAAGAGGGTCTCACGTTCCTGTGCCTTCATGACCTTGCCGCGGCCCAGTTTCTCCACAGCTGAGACCAAGCTCTGCAGGACCTTGGGGCAATCGGACACCGCCTTAGCACGGAAGGCTCGGTCCTGGCACACCTTGGCAAACTTGGCCTTGAAGACACCTCGGGTGATGTGAAGCTTGGTGCATTCATATGCTTTGAGTCGGGCTCTTGAAGACATGAAGCTTTGGGGCTTTCAAAGCAAAAGTGTGGCCATAGAGTCATAGATAAACCATCTCCTAGTTAGAAGTATACAATAGTGTGTGTATATATATATATGTGTGTGTGTGTGTCCACAGGCATGAAGATACCTATATATATATATACAACTTCCTACAACTTCAGCCCTGCCTGCAGCCTCTGCCCAGAAATGGCTCGTTAGAGAGCTAACATTGGAAGCCTCCAGAACTGATTGGAAGCTCTTGTGAGTGACGGGATCTGCTTTTGCCTGGACGATCTCATCTAATGCATGCACACGCTGCGTTTGCGCAACCAAGACCTGCAGGTTCACTTCAAGCGCCTGGTGAAAGCCGGAGCTCGCAGGAAGGGGTGCTTGCCTCACCTCTTCCAGAAGCTCCGTGAGAAGCTTCTTTAGCATTGGCCAAAGACATTGCAGGTTGAAGAACACCTCAAAAGAATTTCAGAAAGAAACGGAACGCCTTTCATGTCTATTGGATGCCCTTCAACGTTGTCTTCAGCAAAGAAACGTGTGCCTGAGAATGAAGAAGCCAGCAAGTTAAGTCTTAAAAAGTTCTGCACCTGTTGCATCACAAACATCATCAAGCATCAGCTAAGAGCGTGACCTGCAGGGCAACACTCAAAGCAATGTGGTTGCCTTGTCGGGTTCCAGTTCTCAAGTCCTCCTCCGATTGGCGGCGCACTTTCGCGCTCACATCGCGGATCCACAAGACTTCAGCCCTCAAAATGTCCACCTTGTCCTCAAGCAAGCGAGGACGTTTTTAGGTTGGAGGCCATCGCTAGTAGGTTCGAGGCCATCGCTTCTAGGTTAGAGTCCAAGGAAGTCAAAAGAATCCTATCGGACAATCGGACCTATCAAAATTCAGCTTGTGGGTCGGCAGAGCTCATTAAAAAACATCCGTGCCCCCAATGTTTGACGGGCTCAAATTGGGGTAAGCATGATCAAGTGAAAAAAGGATTGAAAAGGTTCCTGAAATCCAGGTATGAATCCAAACCACTTTCCTGCAATAGCAGCTCCAATTCATGCAAGGTGTGTGCTGCCTTTGAAAAGTCCTTTCCAGGAGCGTCCATCTGACTTCGTAGCTTCCTGGCATCCCAAAGGAAACGAACCACCCTGCGAATTAGCACATTGACCGCCTGCATTCGTTCCAGTAGCTCAACTTTCCACTTGATGTCTTGGAAAGGCTCCAATATTTCGCCTCGAACTCGAGCAACTGAAGTTTTCAGCGCTCCAACGATATCATGTGCTTCACCCAATTGGCCGTCGAGGTCATTGATGCTACTGGCCTAAGTGCGAACATCAATAGGATTCGCCCGGAAACAACTTGTGCCACACAACGCCACAACTCAGGCATAGGTGAACATGGAAAAGGCTGAGGTTGACCTATTGACCAATGGGCTCCGACATAAGGGTTCAAAAGCTTGCATCTACAAGAAAGTGTCAGTCAGTTCTTGTGAAACTCCAGTTGTGCGAAGGCATGACGTTTTCCATCAGAGGCAATCACAATCAACA